AATTTGAGGAGGACAGAAGAGGACTCAAAAACAGTCCCTGGATTCTGTAGCTGATAGTCTGGCTGGACAATTATGAATAGCTGCAAACAGGGAAAATAATAGAAAGTAGACTAAATAGTTGAGCCCTGGAGGTCCTAGAATACCTCCTTTCTCTCTGCCCAGCATTATAATGGCCATGACCTAGGTTTGAGAATTATCCTTCAGTGTTTCCTAGGCCCGCACCCCAGGATAAGCTATGTGGTTCCTGGCAGTTTTGCAGGGTGAGGAAGTGAATAAACAGTTCTTGCCCCCAAGGAAGAATGCTGAGGGTGGAGTGGGAGAGACTTAGGTAAGGCGAGTGAGTCTCTCACCTTGGTCACAAAATCGAAGGAAATGCAAGCAAACTTGGTAATGCCCTGCTTCTCTGCTAAGCTAGACTCTACTAGATGGGCACAGTTCATTCAGTTCATGAGATTTTTCTGGTCCAAGTACTTGAAAGCATTAACTTCTGAGGGTAGATAGAGCTGGAATGTCACAAAAAAATTTCAGACAAATTCAGTTCTATAATCAGAACTATTGTCTTGTAGAGGGAGCACAGTGCTGGAGAGGAAATGGTGTGTAAATAGCAGTCACTCTGAACTTTCAATCAACTGTGCAAAAAAACTCAGTTTGACTTAGAACTTTTCCCAAAATGCTAACTTCATTTTACAACTGTTCATATTAACATAGCTGCATAGGAATTATGTATGTGCCCTAACCCCTGAGAAAACAGAGGAAGGGTTAATTTGGGCTCAATCCAAAAGAGGCTCAGTTTGTATCATTGGCGTCTTAGCTACTTTTCATATATTCACTATTCCAGGAATGCTTATTGCTTTCTGGTGAAATGAAATATTTAGAGGAAATCTTATTTTAAAAATATCAGTGCATGTATAGACACCACAATTAGAGCCTATAGTATAACATTTTAAGAATGTGGAAACTTCTTCTGAACTAAAATTTAGGCAGTTTCTCACTTGTTGAGATTTTGTTATTCTATTGCACTTAATCTACAAATCAGTAACTGGCTGAAGAACACTGTGCTAATGATATTTGCTGTGCTTCTGGAGATAGTTAACATTCTAAACTGTGAGGCAGTAACAACAGGGTTTTTGAAATGTATTCTATAACTTTTACCAAGCATGGTGTCTACCATATCTCACAAATCAAGTTTACCTTTCATTTCAGTAGCAAATGTTCCTTAGAAAGATCACCCTGTGTCTTACATGACTTTTGCTCATGAGTAAAAATAATGTATATGAAATAAGTTGGGTCTAATGAGTGACATCATCATGGCATTGCATTGGGTTTCCCATTAAGCTTTCCTTATAGAGCTTCTGTTAAAGTTTAAGCACCCTCTCCTGACCATCTTCTACAACAACCAGCTGGTCTTTTTCTCTCTTTTTTTTTATTGTCGTGTATATTCTCACAGAATTCATTAGAATGCACTGCACCTCCAACCCAGACTGGTGGATGCCCTCAGAGGAACAAATAAACAAAGTGTTCAGCGACGCCGTGGGTCATGCCCGGCAGGGGCGAGCAGTGGGCACTTTCCTGCACAATGGCGGCTCATTTTATGAAGGGATCGATCATCAGGCTTCCCAGGATGAAGTCTTCAATAAGAATTCCCAGGACGGGTCTGGGGATTAGCGGACAGAATTTTTTCATGGAAACAGCTGGTCCTCTCAAGAGTTCCAATTGTGAATGTTATCACTTTAGAGTCCAAAGCATGTCATTCTGTCAGATTTCATACATCCTACACCTTAACTCTTCTTGACCTACTGCCACAGTTCCCAAATAGAAATCCATTTTAGGGTTTTTTGAGAAGTCTGTGGAGCTTACAACAGGTTTTCAGAATATTATAGAAAAAATTATGATTCATTTTAAATGATTACTAGCTGGACAGTGAGGGTGGAAAAAAATAGGTGAGCTCCTGGTCACATGTCTGAAATCTTCAAGTACGCTTATCTGCTTCCTGAGCAGAGCTGGTTCTCACAGAAGATTGAGTTAGTGTTCGTGCCCATGGGAGAAGATAGAGAGATGTGGAGTTATTTAAAGGGACAAGGAACAAGCATTCTCTTACTTTAATTCAAATAAGTCATCTTTACATTTTCCAAAAACCTCGATTCATACTTCTCAGCAAAGACATAGGATAGGTGACATCATATGCTATGTCTATATGGACAGCTTATTATTAAATAGAAGCCAGAGAACAGAGGCCACCTCGAGACACTAACTAATTGGAAGTCAGCTGTTTTTCTCAGTTATTTTTACCAAAAAAATCCTACCATGTTGATCAGGAAGGCACTATGTGATCTCGAATTTACAAACAGTAATAGTTTTCATTATGTCAAGAAATACCCAAAGATCCAAATCCATTTTCAAATGCTTGATTCTGATGGTTCATAGATCCACAGTTCCCATAACTTTAAATCAGGCTTTGTTGACACATGCCGAAGTAATGGGTTGAACAATGAGAATTTGAATCAGTTAGTTGTTTGGTGCATTGAAGACCAAACAAGTGATGTGACTGATGGTATTCACTGAATTGACCACATGTTCTAGAATTGTGTACACAGAATTTCAAGGCCATTCTGACAACTATGCAATGGGCTTATCTGTAATTTCTCTGAAATTTGAGGGTCTTTCTGGCTGAGTTGGTCTTAAGAATTTGTGTAGACTGTTTTTGTTGTCACATATGAAAATGTTTCATCCCAACTGTTATGTGCCTCCTTCACGTTTTATTCCCCTGAACTATAAACTCTGGCTAAGTTCACACTGAGTCACTCCAACCAACTTCCCTAGTTTAATTTGTTGAGTTCCATATGTGAAATTTGTAGCATCTTTGGAACCACTTCTTATCAACAAAAACACTACAGGGATGCTAGAATTCATTTATGAGGGCTTCAGTTTTGGATGTCACATGAGGCTTTCTTTATCAGACTAATCCAGATTACTACATTCTTTGTAAGCAAAGGGCTAAATGAGCAGCATTTATTGAAGGCTATTAATACCATCTACAGACATGACTAAGGATTTTGAAAATTGACTTGAAATTAATCATTTAAAGTTTTTTTATTTATAAAGAAGTTTTTTTTGCCATTTTTGTCAAAGTAAAATAATAAGTTATCTTTTATGTTCTGTAATTAGCACCATCTATATGCACAGCCCTAGAAATAGGTCCTTTAACTTTTGTAATGATTATTAGTTTCAACCATTGAAAAGTTTAGAGAGATGGTCATTTGTCAGATCTGTTAAATGGTGTGGAGAACATATTTTCATCCTATTTCGGGAAAGTTAGCTAAAATTTGGAGATAAATAAGGGCAATTATTTATGAAATATTGCTTATGCAATTTCGCTGATGGGAACCATGAGACTAGTATCTTTCACTAGCCAAAGAAGGAAAAAAAGATACTTCTATAAGAGTTTTAGAGGTCTAGGAAGTCCAATATCTTATAAGATTCTTTGGTGGAATGGAATCTCGGCTAAAGAAAAATATCATAACCTTATCTGTCTATCCATCTTATTTTATTGCATTGGACTTTAGTTTTTCTTACTGCTGAATACATGTCCTTTTTTTCCAATAGCAGCAATATTTGACCAGTGCTGTTTTAAAAAATGTCAACTCTTTTCCTGCAACTTGAGAATTTCACACACCTTCACATCTAAACATCGTCTCGTTCTATGTTCATCTGTGTTGTACTGGTCTTCAGTGAGGATGATGATGAGAGCGTTTCTGTACTCATTTAACATTTTTTGTCAGTGATTGGGTGTTGGCCATAACCCCAGCTATCAGAAGAGTCCATCGTTATCAACAGTGACAATGTCTTGATGTGTTCTGAGTTTTCCCAAGTTAAAGTCTTATCACAGAGAGCATACCTGCTTTCACAGTGAACTGGAGCTCCAACCACAGTTCCACTGCGGTCAGGATAACCCTTCAATGATCTGCATTGGAGGATGTAGGCCAGGAACCTGCAGGGGAGCTGTATTCTGCAAGTAATATTAAAATCACATTTCTTAGTGTCTCTTTGAAGGTGCAGTTTTCACAATCTTATGGTTAGCCTCAATGGTAAGTGCTCTGGAGAAAAACTAAACATTAAAGTTTACCATCTCTTTTTACTTGAAAATATTTTATCCAGCCCTTGAACCTGGGCATCACTCTTGTTGTTTCTCATTTTTACCACATCGTTTAGGTTATTTTCATCATTCGTGTTTCATAAGGCTTCACTAGGAATGTAGAGGATAATATTAGAGCATCTGCAGAAAATTGCTATCTCCTTTGGTAGGGGAATTGAGAGGTACATGAAGCTACTTCACAGCTATAGAGCAAGTGGGTGATTTTATATTCTGGATCTTAGCCCTTCATCAGTCATAAACACGTTGACTAAGAGGTCTTTCATTAGGATTATAGAGAGAGAAAAATTATTACAATTATATTATCTGTTCCAACTACTCCATGTGTCAAATATCGATAGAATGGTTTTTTCAGCGCTGATGACTATTCTTGTAATACCGGATGTTTTCCCAAAATCTAGACAATAATTCAAACTTGGGAATCCACAGGTTCATGATTTTTATCTTTTCCTGCCACCTTTAATAGCTTTTCTTCCCTTCTGTTGCTATCAGAAAATGGATGGAGCATCATATAAGATTAAACATGCACTATTTTCAGAAAAGTAAATGTAACATTGCCCTCATTTGGAGTCTGTCATTCATTATATGCTCTAGAATCTAAACCTAATACCCACTGACTACCTCTGTAGTTTTTCTTAGATTTCAATCATTTAAAAAATCTCATTCTTAAAAAATTTAAATGTAATTTTTCTCATTCAGTGCCATGTTATTTCACAGTACAGATCTGTGTAATTTTTGACAGCTCTTATATACAAATTTTTAGAAATGTAATCGAAAATGATTTTGCACATATGGTGCAATCCTTGCTGATGTATGTTTAATGTGGCGACACAAAACTGCTTGGCAAAAACATGTCAAATAGAATGTTTGAGTCAGGACTCTAACATAAATGTGTCTAAACAGCAATATGTATCATTATGATATATTTTTGTAAGCATAGTGATGGCTTCTTTCAGTGGTGTAAGTACTGGATAAAAACCATTTCACTTAGAATGATGTAGGAAAATGTCACCCAACTGACGGCCCTCTCCAAAGTTACTTGCACTGTCAGCCAGTGGCAGTGATTCTTCTATTTGTGTTGTTTTTTTAGAAGAGAGTGAAGAACTGATACCAGTCAACATAGAGTGCAAAATAATAGCCCATCAATATTTGCCTCCTAATACGCAAAATTCAAAACTGTAACTGCTATGTTTACACATTAAGGACCACTTCTAAGCTCCACAGTGTATTCAATTGCAGGAATCATTGAGAGGACTTCATTCATCTAATAACCAGCTTGTTCAGTTTGGCTATTGAAAGCATTAAATTACCAAATTTTTGTGATAAAAATGATCAGATTAATTTTCCTCATGACCATCCATAGCTGGCTAGGTTTTCATTGAACCATAGTTCCCCAAATTGCAATGAAAATAACTCTGTTATACTCGTTCAAAAATCAGTTTTTCTCGGAATAATTGCACCAATACAAATGACCATGTGGGTCTTGACCATGTGGGTCTTATCCATGTTGGAAAACTAGGCCCATCTAAACCCACTAACAACAGTGGTAGTAACTATAGCTAATATGCATCGAGTTCTTGTGTGCCAGGTACTTTGCAAAGCACTTTACAACCACCCTCTGAGGCTTTCACTGTTATTTTATAGATGAGGATACTGCCCAAGGTGCTCACCTAATAAAAAGATCAATTTGGGTTTAGGAAACAGAATGACTAGTTCGGTTTTCAGTAGAGTTCTCAAAGACCACCAACACTTTGAAATGACTTTGTTGCTTGCTTTATGCCTTTGAGGAAGAGTTGACATTTGTGTTATTAAAAACCTCACCTTTAATATATATTGACACAAGTAGGAGCATACAAACCACATATTCTCTGGCAACTGCCAAAGTTTCTGCTTAAGCTTTACTTATGCGAGATGCTAGGATGAAGAGTAGGAAAAAAATTTAAAGTAGTGACTAAATTAAAATCACTTGTTCAGATGTACTCCATACATCTCCAATACAAAAATGCAGGGATAAAAAGGCAAAAATTTGAAGTGAGGTGATATTTTTTTTGGAACTCTTAGATGTTAGAAATGGCACTGGGCATCAGCCAATGTTCCGTTCACTTTCACGTTTGTTGTATTTGTAGCCTTAGAATTGATGAGTCTGGTTTGGGAGAGAGGGTTTTAATTTATGATGTCATCGTGAGAACTGTTGTGAAGATTTTGTAGGCAAATACAAAAGTAATCTGTTGATTCTTTCCTGTAGTTGTGGCTTTAACATCTCTGGCTGTGTTTAAGTTCAAGAGCACGCCAAGGCTATAAGAGCCTAGTTTGTGTTTCTTGGGAACAGGGCATGCCAAACCAAGAGATGGGTCCTGAAACTTTCGAGGTCACTGGTCCAGCCTGACCCTGCCCAATTTAAGCATTGCCTTTATGTCTCTCCTCTCTGGAACTTCATGTAGCAGCCTAACACTGGGGCCAACTTGCCTTTACTCGATATTTTCTATGATGAACACTTGTGGAGAAACTGTGACAAATCCATTGATTCTAATATTTTTATCGTTGGAGTCTTGTTGATTCTCTATGAATAATTTCTATTTGATTGTACTGTGTAGAGTTAATACCCACTAGGGATATGTTAATAACACTATAAATGCATAGTGTAATATAGAATAGCAAGATTTTTTTGTGAACAATTTATATAGAAGAGTAAGTTGCTTTTTAAGTGTTAGGCATATTTCTTTTAAGAACTTAAAATGTTATAAGAGTTTTTTAAACATTCGATATTTTTAATTATAAGAAACATTTGTTACTAGAGCCAATTATTTCAGGTGTTCTAATTGGAATATTGATTTTATTACTTCATATACCTCTAGAATGCCACATGTTCTGTTGGAGATAAAATTGCACAATAAATGTCAAGTCTCTGTTAAGTGTTTTAACTTGTTTTTTATCTTTCTCCAATTCTTCGAAGATGCTTTTCTGGGTGTTTTTTGTTTTTTTTTAAACAACTTTTTTCTCCCTGATGCTAAGGCTTTTTTCTTGTCCTGAATGCCAAGAAAATATTATATGCCTAATACCCAAATAAAAGATATTCAGTTATGTCAGGAAACTGATCAGAAATCATCCAAAAAATGTATTTGATCTAGTGAATGAAAGGGACAGCTGATGATAATCTAAGAGTGACAGGTAATCCAAGATTTTCATCCAGTATTTTGCACATTAACACTTTAAACACACTTGCTTCCTAATTACAGTGCCATTCTATCTGGGAGGTAAAAAAAAAAACAAAAAACAAAAAAAACCTACAGCTTCTACTCATGACTTTTAACAATGAACAAATGTTGATTGTTTATGGTTTTTGAGCAGTGATCTGAGTGCAAAAGCAAAGTAGCTTGTTTAAATAAAATGGCATTATTGTGGCTTCTCACTTTTAGTTATTGCATAAAATATAAATCTGACATAACCCCTATTAAACAGTAAAATTGAATAAGTATTTCATAATTCAGACTAAAAACAAAATACGTGGTTTCATTTTGGGGAAAATTTTATAAAGGTATTTTTGCTCTAGAAGATGCCATGTTTTAACTCATAGTTTTGGATGAAGACAAGAATTTAGTCCAAATAATCTGGGTTTGAATTGGGATCTCAGTTAAAATATAATTAAAATTATTCGAAACAGTAAAAGAAGATTATTAAATGACTTGGGTTTTTAAATATTTTGTAGCAGGACCACAAGGTAAAGCTACAGATCAAAAAAATATTAGGAACAAATTCTGCAAGGTTGCAAGATATAAGATCAATACACAAAAATCAGTTGTACTTCAATAAACAATCTGAAAATGAAATTAAGAAAATTTTATTTTCAATAACAAAATACATAGTGATAAATTTAACAAAATAATTGCCAGATTTGTGAGAATACTATAACACATCATTGGAAGTAATTTTAAAAGCTCTAAAAATAATGTCAGGACATCTCATGATAATGGAGTGGTAGAATTAATATTGTCAAGGTGGTAATACAATTTGATCTACAGGTTTATCGCAGTTCTTATCCAAATCTCAGCTGACTTCTCTGCAGAAATTGGCAGGCGGATTGTAAAATTCACATGGAAATGCAAGGAATCCAGATGGCCAACAAAAATAAATTCTTATATTTGCAGTCAATTGATTTTTAGCAAGGGTTCCAGGACAACTTAATGGAGAAAGAACAGTCTTTTCAACAACTGGTGCTGGCACAACAGGATATCTATATCAAAAAGAATGAAGATGGTCCCCTACCTCACCCTTATGCAAAAAATAACTCAAAATAGATCATAGACCTTAATGGAAGAGCGAAAATTATATAACTAGGAAAAGAAACATAATTATGTCTTCACGATCTTGGATTAAGCAATGATTTCTTCAATATGACAACTAATAGCATGAGCAACAAAAAATAAGACATCATCAAAATGAAAAACTTTTGTGCTTCAAAGAATACCATGAAGAACAAAAAGATAACCCACAGAATGGGAGGAAATATTTGCAAGTCATATATCTAACAAGAAACTTGAACCCAAAATATAGAGATCTCTTACAACTTGACAATAAAGACAAATAGCCCAGTTAAATTTGGGCAAGGGATCTAAACATACATTCTTCAAGAAAGATAAACAAATGGCCAGTAAGCACATGAAAAGATGCTCAACATCATTAGTCATTAGGGAAATGAAAATCAAACTACAATGAAATACTACTTCACTAGGATGGCTAAAATGAAAAAGATACACAAAAAAATGTTGGGTAGAATATGAAGAGATTGAAAGCTTCATATATTGCTAGTAGGAATGTAAAATAGTACCATTATTTTGTAAAACAGTTTGGCAGTTCCTTACAATGCTAAATATGTACTTATCAATTATCAGTGGATCCAACAATTCCACTCATAAGTATAGACCCAAGAGAATTGAAAACATGTATATACAAAAATGTATAACCAAATGTTTCTAGCAGCATTATTAATAGTAGCCAAAAAGGGGAAATAATCCAAATGTCTGTTAGTTGATAAATGGATAAACAAATGTGGTATATCCACACAATGGAATATTATTCAGCCATAAAAAAGAAGTAAAAAACTGATACATACTACATGGATGAACCTCAAAAAAAAGATTATGCTAAATGAAAGAAACCAGACAAAAAATGCCACATATTTCATGATTCCATTTGTGTGAAATAATCCAGAATGGTCATAATAGGTAAGTTTTAGTTTATGTAATTAAGGAACCAAATGCATTAAGATATAATCCCTTTAAAGTTAATTATACAGTCATGCAATATATTTACTGAGAGCCTGATGTGCCTGGCATTGTATCTGGTATCATGTCCCAAGTAGCAAAGGAACAGTCTATGGCTTGGTACTTATTTGGAGAAAAATAACAAAGACCTATTATAAATTATGAGAAAATCCCAACTTCCACTGAGCAACTTGTTCCTCCAAATAAAATTTTATTCAAAAAGCTGAATCTGGCATAAAATGAGAGAAAATAAATACCACTGAGTCTGTCTCTACCATATCAAGCAATTCAGTTTGACCATCTCAGCCAAAGTACATGCCAGTTCAGGGAAAGAATTATTCATATATGATTTTTTATACTTCCAAATCCTGGTGGAATCATTCTTTTTTCCATTTCTTTTTTTCTGCCCCCTCCTCTTAAAGTTGTGGTTCAGACCTCACATAGACACAGTCAGTGATAACACATTTGGTGTTTCGGCCACTCTGTCAGAAAACAGATGGCGTAGTTGATTTGAGAAGAGTTTAATAAAGACACTGGGTACAAAGGTGTGGGCAGGGTGGACTGAAACTACAAAGGGGAGTGTAATATCCAGACCTAGTACCAGCAGAAAGCAGTCATTAGCCTGAAGGGGTGAGGCAAGTGACTGGTTGGTGGCTCTGGGATTTGAGAGGGCTATGTCGAGACCTCCCTGATAGAAAATTTGATCTACATGTGAGGGACACAGACACTGCAGAGCCTGTTGGGAGGGAGAAGGGAACCAATACCCTGATTTCTCTCCTTCCTCTTGTCTCCTGATGGCCTCCCTCTAGCTGAAAGCAACTGGAAGCCAGAGGACAGGAAAACTCATTGATGTTTATACAGGTTAGCCCCCTAGGACATGAGCAAGATGGAGAAGGGATAAAGGGAAGATATTAGGCACAATTGATAATGGAAGTGAATCAGGTAGTTCAAAGGCCTCTTTGGTTCCACCTCATTGAAATTCTGAGAGTAATGTAAAATTCTTTACATAATGACCTCTTAATTCTTAATAATTTGAATAGTTAACACTTAAGTCAGTAGGCTAAGTGCTTTACTATCATTATTGCATCGAATCTTCTTAATGAGCTAGTGAGGTAAACTCTAATGTTATTCCAACTCTACAGACGAGTAAACTGATGCTTAGAGACTAAGGTAACAGAGCTAATAGTGGTGAAGCGGTGAAGCCAAGATACTAATAATCCAGGTGGTCCAACCCCAGGTGAGAAGCCCATATTTTACCCACTCCAGTAAAACTGCCCTTGGAAGGCAATATCTATAAGACTCAAAACAGGAAAAAGTTGCTACTGTGAGGCTGATAAACAATTACTACCTCTTAAGTCTACCCAACTCTGGCTGAGCAAACTATAATTCATCTCTCAATTTTGCCTGAGAAGATTGCTGCTCAAAATCCTGAAGAAATGCTCAGATGAATACTGGTGCAGTTCTTGGGTCCCAGGTGTCTTGGTTCTGATTCAGCCCTAAAACTCCACAGAGACAAATTTTCAATGCCTCTGCCAACAGTCCTCTCTATCATTGGTCCTGATTTTAAGAAACATGCTTGCTTCTATGAATGAATGAATGAATGAAGTGGGATAAAAATTGTCTAAAGTATCTTGGTCCTTGTACTTATCAATTATCAAATTTTAATAAATTGGGTTAAACCATGGTTTTGAAATACAGCTCTAAGATAAACATTCTCATTTCACAAAAATGTTATGGACCAGATTAATCCTGATTTTTTTTATCATATTTACTATTAAAAAGCAAAATTTGAGAGAGAGCTTCAAAATGGCATAGATGATAGAGGCTCTGTTCATCCTTCCGGTGACCAAATCAAAGTTGTGATAGAAACAAAGAGCAGTAGCAAAGAAAAATCACCTGGAATCTAGATGAACAAGCCATACAACTAGAGAGAAATCCAAGAAAGCACTCTGCAATAGTAGAAGGTAGAATGGGGCAAGGACAAGGGGCAACCTGGTCCCAAGTGGCTGAGATGGAGGCTGCAGCAGCGGCAGAAGCCTCTTAAAGGGGCTGCATCCATGAGCCGATTTTCCTGGCAACAGACTTGCTCGCTCTGAACACCAGTGCCAACTCGGCTGCGTGCAGGGGGCTTGAGGGACTTATAAGGAGATATTGTCGGAGAGAGGGTTAAGGGGAGACTCGCTCAGTAGGAAGTGCCGGAGGTATCCATTGTTCCCTGTTGAGCCCTCCCCTGTCCCAGTGCGCAGACACAGAGCCGCCATAGCTGTGACTTCATCAAACTGGATAACAGAGGTCGCTCCACCCAGAGGATTCCCTGAAACCCTGCCTCCCCCAACCCAGGTCCAAC